TATATAATATATATATATACTATATATATATATATATATATATATATATATATATATATATATATATATATATATATATATATATATATTCACGATTTCTCAGTAGAATATTTAAAACTACTCGTCTGCTCTCAACAACTTAGATCGTAATAAAGATTGAAAAGTTTTGTTTAATAAACAATATTTTTAAAAAAACATGTTTATCATAATATTAAATTGAGCAGAAAGTGAAACTAAAATGTTTAAAATCATTACAATTCGCATTATACTCTTATGTATGGCTATGTAATGTAAGGCACGATAGAGCGCTTATGCGATATATATAAACACATCCGCCGATATGAAGACGCTTGATAATATCCAGCTTGGATATTGAAAAAACGAAAATTTCGCCTTACGCTACATGCAAAATTACTCGGGTCGCGCGACGATCGGGTGACTAGCAACCAGGAATAAAGGGAGTGTTCTTAGGTTTCTGCACGAGTAGGAGACCGACTCGCGCCGGCTCTACCGTCTGAGAAACATTATGGCAGTATGTGGGAAGAGGGTTCACTTAAACTTGGGCCCTATGTTCTCCCAATTATTAATGGCCTTCATGTTAACCTGTTCTATCCGCCACTTTTGAGTGGGCGACGATTTATTGCACGCGGTCACGAACACTTTCTTGCCGCCCGGATCGACGTCCAAGCACCTCGACGAGTAGCCGTGTTGCAGCCACTGCTTCTCGACGTCGTAACGCCACAGCTGATTGCCCTGTTTACCGTGGCAAGGATACAAGCTCACCGGTGCCTTCTCCTCGCCTCTGGACACATCCAGGCAATCAGTGCGATCCTTCGGCCTGATGTCTTTGTGCCAGGTCAGCCGAAACTCCTGCTCACCCGACACCTTCGGATCGTCCTTCATGCAAGTGTCCACCACGATCAGCTCGTCCCTCTTGCGCTTCTTGGAGTCCAAGCACAGCTCGGTCGCGGCCATGTTCCGGATCTCGCCGTAGGCGAAGTCGTCCGGCTCGATGGGCGGATAAATCTCAATGAGGTCAAAGGCTATGTTCTTTATAAACCAGTTGAACGATTTGCAGCGCAATCTCGCTCGCAAAGTCTTCTGCTCCGACAGATCGCCCGGATCCAACGTCCGCAGGTGCGGCCGTCTCTTGTAGATGTACTCCGCGTACTCGTCCATCCACACCTCGGCGACCCTCTTGTAATTCTTCCCCAGGAAGTCGCCGCGGCCGGGATTGGGAAACGGCGGGAACTTGCGATAGATGTGGCCGACTCTGGAGCACGGCGCATCGTACATTTGTCCGCCGCACTGCCAGATCTTGAAGGATAACTCGTACTGCTCGCCGCCCCATATGTCCAAGCCTGGATCGTAACCGCCCAATTCCCAGAAGAACTTGGCGCTGATGGCGAACAGACCGCCAGCCATAATGGGACTCTTGAACGGCTCCGAGGGTCTCTTCAAGTCCTCCGGTAGCAGCGGCAGCCTCTTGTAGTACAATTCCCAATCAAACGCTCCTCGAGCGCCTTCATCTTGTGCTCTGTACTCGAAGGTCTCGTAAGCTATCACATCGATGAACGGACAAACGCAGGTTCTGTAATCCAGCGCGATCGGCTCTAGCAACGGCGGCAGCCAATTCACATTAGCCTCGCTGTGCGAGTCCAAGAACACGAGGACCTTCGCTCTGGCCCTCTTCGCGCCCGCTAATCGGCCCCTAATTAATCCTGAACGTTTTGGTAATCGCACGATCGATACCTTTGGCAAGTGCTGAGCAACATAGTCGTCTAGCTTCTTCTTCAATTCCACTTTCGTGCTGGCATCGTCGACCAATATGATCTCCTCCAGGAGAAAAGGCGGCGAGCGATTGATCACGCTCAAGCAAGTTCGCAGCAGCGTGCTGAAATGCTCGTTGTGGAAAGACACTATCACAGAAACAGGATCTAGATTTCTCAAATATTTCTTCTTTTTACAATCTGGATGGCGGATATCAGGCACTGAACGATTCATCGAGATCTCATCGCTGAGAGCAGCATTGAATCCGTTTACTTGATACAACTTTTCTTTCCGTGCATCGAGAGATGGAGAAAGGAAGGCTGGCTTTCCTTGTTCTCCCATTCCAGTTCGTTTGTTCTCTTCCTCGATCTTCTTGTAGTCATGCCAATCAATTTTGTCATTTAAATCCTGCAAAATATATTGAAATTAGTGATCACGAGTAAAATAATGATTTCTTTTTTGTAATCAGACTTATTTTCATTAAATAAATATATTTATAGAGGAAAAACTTTTCGAGGAGTAATGTTTAATCCCCTTTTTATATCAAAAAGTTTATTATTGTCAAAAGGCTATCCACGTGGATTACATCCAGTGGATTACAAGAATTAAAAATCGACAAGTAACATCTTTGCAACCGTGAAGAAAGCTTGAAACAAACTTGGATGCGTAGTCACATTTCATACATTCCTAGCGGTTTGGAATGCAAAATAAACCGGAATGTGATTAAAACTTGTTTGCTGTTATTATGCGTCCAAGGAAAGTAGGTTTGCGAGATGGAAATACAGATGCGAAATGCATTGTAATTAACATAATATCGACGTGTACGAATTTCGACATCGGGATTTCATCATGAAACATTAAAATTCATAACCAGCTTCAACTGTCATTCGTACCTGATTCAGACGTTCGTCGTTCTCTCTATTGTTGTCCCCGGGATTTCTCTGACCGACGGCAACAGCTGCCGAAGCGTCGAAAGACGTCAATATTTGACGGTTAGGCGGCGTCCGCATGTAACGAAACACCACGACGGTCAGGAACACCGTAAAGGCCGCCAGAAAGAAGAACTTGATCAAACTGATCACGTTTCGCCTCATCTTCGCGAGTAGATCATGTCGCGAGATCAACCCGGCCTCACGAGAACTTAACCTCAATTCGCACCTTTCGTCGCGTACGCGGCGGACGAGGAATGACCTTACGGTGTGACAACGTCATTTGTCATCGCTGCTGCACGACGGTCGGAAATTTTCAACGACATGTATGTCGATTATCAGTCTTGACGATACACCTGATAAAAAATTACCATGACACACAACAAGCAGAACGACGCGCGCAACTGCCACGCGATAACTGAAGTGTTTCGGACGTTTCGGTCATCGGATCGAGGTGGAACCCCTCTTTCGCTTAGAAAACTCGTTCTCCATCGGTTCTATTCATGCGACCGTGTTTGCGTTTTTGCATTTGTACAGGCTTAACGGGTTTCACCGAGTAACATTAATCTTCATTGATAAAGATCTCAAAGATAAAAACATCAGTTTTAAGAAAATAATTGAATGGAGTGCACTTATTTGATGTAAGGCACATTTAGTTTCTCTTTTTTTTATCCATCAGAAAATAAAGAAACATTTAAGGAATGAAATTCTTTGAAAAGATTCCTTCACTTTTTAACTTTTTCTAATATAAACTTTAGTAAAAGTTGTAGAAAAAAGAGAAACTAAATGTATCTTGCATCAGATAACAGTTTTATACAATCATTTCCTTAAAAAAAAATCACTTCCTTTTACTTTTTAACTTTCTCTCATACGTGAGAAATAATAAGAATTGTTTGATAATTAAGAATTTCTGATTTTATGGTAAAAAATACATATAAAGCGATTGTAAGACAATGCGAAGACAATATGTATATGAAAAAGACAGTTATTACTTCTGTCTTTCAAAAAGAGATCAGCTACAGGTGTTACAAATAATATAACAAGCTAGTTGCTATTCAGGTTGCATATAGTTTGCGTGATGTAATTATATAGCTGAAACCGGTTGAAAGGCAACTTGAAATTAGTTCAAGTAGCGCAATGATAATTGATGCTATAATTTCAATAACAAAATACAGCAAGCAATATGCAGCTGTGAATATCGAGTTAAAAAAAAGAAAATTTTGATATTTTCTTATTATTAAATTATTTAAGCTATTCCCTCATACTAATATTTGTTACTCTTGCTGATTTGCAGCCGCACAGGCAGCGGAAACGATTTTTATCCTTTCAACTATATCAACGAGCAGTATAGAGGAAGTGGCGAAAGCTGCGCCGACGGGTATCAAATGGTTCCAGCTCTATATTTATACTGATAGAAATGTTACCTTAAATTTAATAAAACGTGCCGAACATGCTGATTTCAAAGCGCTGGTTCTTACTATTGATGCACCGTTGTTTGGCGATAGACGTGCGGATTTGAGAAATAAATTCGCATTGCCAAGTCATTTGAGGTGTGCCGTTCATTAAATACATGTTTCATATAAAAAGAATTGCATGCAAATAAATGCCATTAGGCATTGCCTAAGCATGCCTAAATATAAGAAAAAAATGCATAATTATACATAGATAAATAAGAGAAGTTAGTGAAACATTATCTCTAAAGAGTACAGATAAGATAACAAACCATATCTGTAAGTTTTGTACGTACAAATCTAGAAAGGAATTATATTCAATTTTTGATTCTCTCCAAAATTTTAAAACGTTAATACTCTTCATTATATACTTTAGAGTTAAATAAAATTTTTTTGTGCACCGTAAATGATGTAAAACGTTTTCTGTTTTAGATTCGCAAATTTCGAAGGAGATTTAGCGCAACGAATAAATTCCGCAAAGACCGGCTCCGGCCTTAATGAATACGTTACCGCATTGTTTGACGCATCCATCTGCTGGGATGACGTGAAGTGGCTTAAAAAGTATTGATGTCGCTTGTAAAATTTTCTTATCTTGACATTTAAAGTGTTAAGTTCTTTTATCGCGAATCTAGCACGGCGAAGCAAATCGAAAGTATTTGGGTCAACTTGTTGCAGAAACACAACACTGCCAATAATTCTTAAAGGAATTCTGACTGCAGAAGACGCACATTTAGCTGTGAAAAATGGTGTTGATGGTATTATTGTCTCAAATCATGGTGCACGTCAAATAGACGGCGTTCCAGCAACGGTTCATATTTTATTTTAAAAGTTTTGGGAAATCTGAAAGGATGTAATATAAAAATACAACATACGTGAGCGCATTGGCGTTACGATTAAAATGATTATACTTGCAGATCGAAGTTTTGCCAGAAATAAGCAAAGCCGTAGGAAATAAAATTGAAATTTATATGGACGGTGGAGTGAGGCAAGGCATCGATGTATTCAAAGCTCTGGCACTGGGTGCAAAAATGGTACATATTTGTCAAATAAACCGCATTTAAACAGTTTCGTATAATTTGTAGATCCATTAATCAATCATGCCTTTTTTCAGGTATTTTTTGGTAGGCCGATGCTGTGGGGTTTGGCATACGGTGGCGAGAAAGGTGCCAATAAGATTCTTGAACTTATGAGAAGAGAGATCGACTTAGCATTTGCATTAACTGGCAAGTTAAAGCATAACCATCGACTCAAAAAAGTAGCTTATTAAATTTAATCAAATTTTAAAAATAAATATTTCTTTTAGGCTGCGCATCCGTAAAAGATGTCACACGAGATATGGTGATTCACGCATCATACTATAGTCATCTGTGAAAATAAATTTCTCTTAAGATATAGTTCAAAGATGTTTCAAATTTTAATTTGTAAATTTGTGTTTTTGAATATAGAAATATATTTTATGTATTGCCATATATATTAGTCAAACAAGAAAGTCCGATTTACATCAAGCATAACACATGTATGAAAAATAAAATTGCAATGCAAATTAAAATGCGATCGAAAGGAATAATAGAACTGTTAAAATTGTTGACACGGATATTCCACGCCAGCGTTAAGTAACAATAAATTAAATCGAAAAGGCTCAATGATTATAAAATTAGAATTTATAGAGAAGTTAATATACGAGTCGACACAAAATGGAAATTTATTAAAAACGCATATAATAAAAATAATAAATTAATTTCAATGTTTCAGTGATAGTCTATTGTTCACATTGATTCGAAATGATCTAAATACAAATCGAACCGTCCTGTAATTTATGTATTATAGTTGTTTTCACTTTCGAAAACGATTTTTCATCTTTCGCTGACTCAATTGTGATCAAGTTCGGATAATTATCGAACTTTTTCTTAATTTATTTGAAGTCAAAAGTTGTAATTGTCTCTACAACTAATTAAAATTTCTCTTCAAAATGTTGTTCTTTTCACACGTCTATTTGTTTTTAAATATTTTATAATGTTATTTATATTGAACAATGGTAACAATATACAAAATTGTACAATACAAAAAATTGTACAATATACAAAATAGAAATTAAGAAACCGATATGCAAAGTAGATAGATTATAATTTTTCTCGAAGTGAATGATGTCCGTGAACAATGTTATTATCTTTTTGGCAATGTAGATCTGTATAATGATTGCTGGTAATTATCTACAACGTTTTGACGTTACATGTCGACATTTAGAATATCAAATTTTATTTTTCGTGGCATAAAGAGAAAAATATTCATTCTGTTTGCATCAATTCAACATAAATCAATGAACAATAGCCTAATATTCAATTAGATATTGTTATATTATCATAATATAGCCAAATTGATTGTAATTAGTAAGGAAAACGAGAGGAGTGATAACTTTATATTACTAAATCTTTTAAAAATTTATATGCTTTGAATAAAAATTCTTGAATTCTTGTTTAGGGAAAACTACTTTGGATCATCTTATTTTAATAAATGCCTAACAGAAACATTAAATAGGCACGACGAGCAAGATAAATATAATGAGTTAATGAAGAAGCTCCATAATTTATAATCAAATTTTCATAGTTTATCATTTTTCTTGATATATTTTATTCTTTTCCACACTCATCACATACGATATAAGTTAATATTTAATAATAATAATCTTCTATGGGGATCGTTTCAAATTATTACTTCAAATATGTACTTCAAAGTATATAATAGTCTCTTATTAAGTTGTTATTGAATCCTCAAGACATAATATAATTATTTAATTATAAGGCGTCGAATCGCTATATTGATGTTTTTGATTATTTTCTAATTAAAAATTTTGCTTTGAAAGAATATAATAAAAAGAAATATTAAATTCAGAAATTATTCATTATTTTTCAAAATTAATGAATAGTGGCCACACAAATTGATATTAGGTCTTAAGAATTTTTTTAGCAAAATATCACGTTATAAAAATTAAATATTACATTCTAAAAGATATCGACACAATACAAGATATAACGCAATATAATATAATATAATGACGTAAAATTATATGATCGAATAATGTTTGTATAGAAGTATTATACCAATGTATCATTTTGACAGGGCCAAAATTTTACAAACATAATGGATTTTATTGGCATAATGGACAACATATGGGCTGCAAAAAGCGGTTCATTGCTTTTATTATATAAATATTTATAGATCAATCATATCATGCACTAATGGATTTAGCTTTTAAATCATAAATCAATCTCAATAAATCATTACGCTTTTGTGGGACCATTTTTGTAACTACACTACAATCACAATCGGTTATCTTAGAAGCCCTTAGAACATATCTGGATATTACATCGGCCAAACACAAGACAAATAAACCACAATCATAGCTATTATTTTGTTGAGGACAATTCATTTCAGTATATCTTGCCTCTTGTTTACCAAGAAAATATCTTATTATGTTTTGCGCAAATTTTTTCGCAATAGAACTGTTAATATTGCATGAGGAATCAAAATGATAACACATTTCTTCTGTACGAGAATATATCAGTAAGCTCCAATGTGAGCCACCTGCCTCAATGCTATCACAGTCGTTTAGAGGGAAGAACAAGAAGTCATAACTTTTTGCATCAATAGGATCAAGAAATATATGATATTGTGAAAAATCCTGCATCTTTAACAACTGAGCCACACCAGGACCTATAAATAATAACTGACTTTTACCATTTTTCTTATATTGTTGGTCTAAATATTCAAAATAAAATCCTATTATGATGTCGTTAAGCCAGTCATTTTTCTTCAACAAGGAGACATCTGATGATCTAAGTAGATAATCATGATAACTCAATACAACATCATCTGAACTTGTTGAATGTGCACCATCAGGTAACTGTCTCGAATATTCAGGCAAAATCGGCATACTGAATATCACTGAAATCAAAGATTTTCGTGTAAAAAATATAATTATATAAAAAATAACTTTGTATTAAATATTTATTTTCTTGTAAAATAAAGAAACTTACATTGACAATCAAGATGAGTAAAATTTCAAAGCAACAGAAAAAGTCATGTATCAATATTTGTTTGTTTTTCCTTCTGGGCACTTTTATAATACAATACCACTCTTATCTCGCTAACTTTTCTTCCTTGAAATCTTCTATTTTATTCCTTACATTTTTTTATCATTGAATATTACATATTAATGTCATAATGGCATTTTTAAACTCCATTTGTATTCAATGTTATTGATGAACTTATGACCTAAACATTCAGGTTGCACGGTTATTGACAGTTGTTCACGAAGAGGTTATAACACTCATTTTGTGAGTTTTAGAACGCAAGATTGTTCTCGTATAATTCTGGTTTGTAAAACTTATAAAAAAGTATTACAATTTTTATGAACTACATATTGTATTTAAATATCTGCTTGTATTATGACTGTTGAATAAACAAATTTAAAACTATATTTTCATTGATTATAATATTTAATATTTAAAAAGATCCTTTACGATTTATGTTTTATAATGATAAACTGCATATTATTTTACTGCATATAAATAGTTATAATTTGAATATTTGTGGTATTTTACATAATTAAAAGTGGACTAGTTCAATGGTATAAGATGTACAATTTATTAAAGATACAAGTTTCTTTGTTATGAAAAAATATATATACATATCATCTATTTATACATATATATTATATTAAATCTCTATATTTAAATATTTTTAAAGAAATGTTCAACATGTAATCACTTCCATATAAAAATAATACTTTCTATTACAAATATATACAAATTCTGTTTTCTTTATATAATAAAAAAATCATATGTAATTTTCTTGGAATAAACATGAATCATAAAATAAATTTTTTTTGCCATTGCTAACGTTCGATGAGTTAACTAATGTACTTTTTACGTAGGTACATCTCTACGTAAATGAAGAATTGTAAAATGTTACTGTTATATTTTTGCTGAATAATGATAAGTATAATAAAATAGTAAAAAGTACTAAGTAATATTATACTTATATATCTGCATACAAAAGTTAAGAGTATCAATCAGGAAGTATTAGAGATATTATCTTAAAGAAATATAACCATTTGGTTTATCTTATAGATAATGCTTTACTAGCATTTTATTTCATACATAATGAGTCTGTAATATTGCTTATACTTTTTACTATTTGGTATGGTACATAATAAATGTCAATTTACAAAAATATCGACCAATATCTCTGTGATCGATCCGTACTGATTTTGTGCAAATTGTTAAAGCCTTTAAAATCAAAAAAATATAATGCTACGCAATATATAAAATATAAAAATATAATTTATAAAGATATATCCAACACTCTGTTCATAGGCGTTCTTCAGCGACGTGATACTTCTTACCATTTTCACAGAGGACTGTATAAAATGGTTTCAATAGACTAAGATCAGAAAAAAAGCAGGAACTTCCTTCTAGTAAAATCTTGCATGTGAAATCCAATTTCATGTGCACCTCATATTTCTCGTCCCATCCAATTATCACACCTATATCCATTTGACTATATTCGCTCCTTAGAAAATATTCAGTATTATACATTATGATCATTCCAACTGCAAAACGGAAATTAATATTAGAAATTATCATATATTTTTCTTCATGATTTACATGCTTTCAAGATATTATAATCTGTTGTTAAATTGACTGGCTCTATCTGTTTTACATGCATTTATTTGACAAAAATATATTAAATAATAAATCCGAACTATTTTGAATTATATAGTTTGTTTATAAGACAATAAAAATACTTTAAATAATTTTGTTAATACGTAAATTAGACATTTTATTTATAACTTGTGGTAATTACATACCATAACTGGATTTACATGATTCCTAAATTTATTCAACAACTGTTCAGCGCGTCTTGCCTCCACAGGGTTAGTAAACTTACAATTATCCTGCAGAAATACAAAAGCACAAAATTTATTTGAAAATATCTTTTGCTTAAAGGTACACATATATAGAAACATGTTCATGCAATAGAAATGTTTGGATTTTTGAAAAATTTATATCAACATCATACAAATATTCATTCTGACATTAATTTCTAGGTGCATAGTGTAAGAAAACAATGTTACAAAAAATAAGAAAATTTTATGAGAATTAAAAGAATTATTTATCTATATTTAATTCCTTTTATATATAACATTTTGTGTGTGTATGTTATACACACATTTATTTACATACCTGAATCTTTTCCAACATAACTATGAGATTGGACAAATCCGTCTGATGCTGTACATATATGCGACCTAGGTCATTAATTGCGGACGTATCTGGTTCTATTAGACACGTTAATTCCAGAAACGACCGTTGCGTAATTTTGTCTTCATCGTTTTTGTTTTTAGTTTCCAAATAATTACTCATTCGTGACATCATCTTGAAATAAAGATTACAATATAAGCAAAGCTAAGATTCCAAATTTATTTCACTACTCTTTTCTATTTATTAATTTCTATTAATGAAACATGCTCCATATTGATATAGTACATATTAACTATTAGCGATTTTTTATCATCTATTAAATTTATTAACTACTGCTAAAATAAAATATAAATAACTGCTAACCTCTACAGGACTTATCTTCGTATACTTATCAAACCATGCTATAGGACATTTTGTAGCACCACTAATTATGGGACAATCATTTCTACTCAGCATGGATCCATCGCGCAGAACATCAATATAAAAACATTTTTGTTCTTTGAGATTTGTAGTATGACTGTAAGTGATAAAAAAGATATACATATAAATATAAGAATGAAAATTTAAGTTAGCGTTAAAATGATTATAACATACTATTTCGCTCTCCAGCACAAAAAGAAGTGGGTTGGAAAGGACATTAAATCGCAGCGTACACCAAGTCTTCTCGCCACACTGTGATATATTGTTGCCAGAGTTACTGCAGTACCAATTTTATTTTTTAAAACCTGTCATCAATTGCAATGGAAAATATTAATATTGAGAGATAACAAGCATAGAACTGTGCTGACAGCATTATTCATAATGTATTATAATTTTGATTTTTAATTATAACTTACGCAATCTATAAAAGCATGTTCTAGAATGGATTTTGATTCAGACTCCAAAGGTTCCTCAAGATTTCCATGAAAACCTAATTTATCATACAAAACCTTACAAAGGCTCTCTATAATCTGTCTTCCTTCTGTGCTATTCCAATGATTGTCATCAATATTATTGTATTTCCAAAAGGAAAACTGTTCGGGTGATATTGAAAATATTGGATGCGCAGGATATTTGTTTTTATGATACTCCAATACCTGCTGCGCAATATTATCCAGTGACGTTCTCACATCCATGTAAGACACATATTTTTGAGGTTGATACCACTGTGCCAAAATAGTGGCTGCCTCTTCTAAAATCTGTTGTTGCTCAGGATAATTTATAAATTTGTGCCACATGTTCCTTAAACGATAATGCTGGAGGTATGAAAGAAGCTTCTTTGCATAATATCTCTGTGTCAAATCGGATTCCCTAAAACATAATTACTATATAATATTTGACATCTAATATTTCCTGAATTAAACGCGCAATAAATATATTATAATCTACTATATTAACAGTTTGTTAAATCTTACGTTGAAGATTGTGCAAACAACTTTATCAACTCATTTACAAAGAAATAATAATTCATAAAATATGCGCCTTTATCTGGATCAAACAGTGAATGCAAATCCTTTAAGTCAACATCAAATAAATCATCTTTGTAATAGTGCTCCTTGGACATCAGCGACATGTAATGCCGTAATTGTTTCTTAGATTTTATACCTGCTTTTACTTGTTCTAGAAAATTTTCTTTGCATAGTTGTTTGTCATATTCTTCTCTTAAATAAGGCCATCTAAAATTAAAACAAAAAATATACGTTATTTTCAAAGTTATATAATTTTATACATTTTACATAGCATTTTTAAAATAATCTTTCAAAATTATATAGATTAGATGAAGTCATTGCAATAGAAATAAAAGTTTTCAAAGCTACTATATGTTTCAAATTAAAAAAATAAAAAAATTTGTTCAAGGCAATTGGAATAACATATTTGCTTATCACTAAACATACATTTTGAATATGATAAATCAAACAAGTGTGCACAAAAACAAATGTGAAAAAATACCTCTGATAAAATTTCTTTCGCCAAAGCATATTATTATTGGTTAAGTTGTAGAGTTGCTTGCATGTGAGAGCTAAACTCATAATATCTTTAAAACTGATGCTCTCATCGCATAAGATGATATTAAGCACTTCAGTGGACAAGTACGTTATTGCAGCCATTGCATAGATAATTTAGCGAAAGTACGAGCTTGGAATTCACATTAATGACAGCAAGCATATCCGTTATTAACCTTGTTCAACTAATTTCCTATTATTTAAAAATGTGCGAAAAATATCAAGGTGACTTTTTACATCAACGCTCAATTTCAGTGTTAGTAAATATCACATGAGGACTCCTTGGGGTCGATTGTGGCTGCGTTCCGAAATTCACTGCCGGTATTGAAAATCTACAATATACGTGACATAAGCTACAGATTTTAAGTACTATCAGTAAATTTCAGAACACAACCTGTGTATCATGCAATGTAGTAAAAATTACAATATTAAGCAAATTTACTAGATTATTGACAATGATTGTTTTCCAGCAAAGGACACAAGTTGACACAAATCGACACAAGTATCATTCTATCTTTGTTCGATATTCAATGAGCAACAGAAAAAATAATACTTTTGTGTCGCTTGTGGGTGTTTACGATAATTCAAGTTCGAGTTAGTTTCACTAGGACCGAAAAATGAGATAGACATAACCATCTAGAATCTTTATGATTTATGACAACTCAACGCTGTCTTGTATTGCTTGAGTTAAATTAATTGAATTTGTTGAGTTTATAGAGCAAATTTTATTGTATTAAAAAAATGTTAACTGCAAATCAGTCTATGAAAGAAACAAATAATGTTGGTATGTATGTTGGTATACCTCTTTAATAGATATAATTATATATATATGTATATAATTATATTTATTAAACTCAACAAATTTCAATGAATTTAACTCAAGCAATACAAGACAGCGTCGAGTTGTCATGAATCATAAAGGTTCTAGATGGTTATGTATATCTCATTTTTCGATCCTAGTGAAATTAACTTGAACTTGAATTATCGTAAACACCCTGTGTCTCTTGATGGAAAACTACCAATAAAATAATAGAAACTTTAGTAAATTTGCTCACTATTGTGATTTTCACTACATTGAATAATACACAATCGACCTTTTTAAGCCTGTGTCACACTACGAATTGCGGACGCGAATTGAATTGCAGATCGGAATTCAGCCAATCAAAACTTTTTTGCTTCGACTTGATTGGCTGGATTCCGATCCGCGATCCGCAATCCCAATCCGATCCGCGTCCGCAATACGTAGTATGACACGGGCTTTATGGCTTTTGCACACTAGACTCAAAAGAGCGATAAGCGAAATTCAATGGGCGCCTTCAGCGAAACAAACCGTTTAGTAGCAATAGAACGTGATTGGCTCTTACTCTTAGAGCCCACAAATTAACAGCGTCATTCAGCGGAAAATCTAGTAACTTTGTCCAACTGTTGAGTCCGCTGAATGCGGCCATTGAAAGTTTTACTTTTCCGGAAAAATAAAGCTCTTATTAGATATCGCTCATTACGCATCACTCATTTTGTCCAGAATGCAGAAGCCATGAGGACCTATTCAGACAAACTTGCACAGTCGCATAAACATATGCATAAAAAAATTGATTGATCCATTTTCTTATACATTTGCTCATGGATCAATCATATTTTTTATGCATATATTTATGCGATTATGCAAGTTTGTCTGGGTAAATCTTACGCTGAAATTAATAGCGTTTTCGATTATACAGGATTTGAACGACCCAGGGTTGGTTAATGACGTCATTGCAACCTCTCCACCAATGAAAGACTTGCATTTATAGTAAAATAGTGATTGATCAACCCTGGGTCGTTCAAATCCTGTATAATCGAAAACGCTATAAGATTGAGCATCAGGGCACAGATCATGTAATTTTCCTTAGGAACGTGAACGTGAAAAATGAAAACTTTAATGTGATTTCAACAATTTTATTTGTCGAATTCACATGCAATTTTCATTTTTCACGTTTCCGCTTCTAGAAGAAAATTATATAAGCGATGCTCTATTCAAGAAATTTGTAATCTTCTTAGGCTTAATTCATATCGTGAAGTCTAATAATATGTTTTTATAAAGTTAGTTATTTACTAAGTTAGTTACTTACTTCATTACTTCTGAGATACACGATGTGGAAGCGCTTTAAATGTTACTTACGTTTTCAAAAAGTAATTACGACTTTTGGTCACAATTTTCATTCTTCGTTCTTGTTCAAAGCTTTGATCGTTTAATGACATCCCAAACTTTCCAAATAAAACAAATTATAATTTATGATTTTGCAATTTAATAAATTTTATATTAATTAGTATAAAAAAATTACACAAATAATTTTACAGTTTTCATAGACAACACATCCATATTGTATTCAAATAAATCCGTGTATTATAATTGTTGAATAAACAAATTTAAAACTATATTTTTGATGATTAACACTAAAAAAAATAAATGACCCTTTTATTTTAAATTTAATGTTTTATAATAAACTGCATATGTTACTTTACAAAATCCATATAAATAATTGTAATTTAAACTTTTGTGGCATTTTACATAATTAAAAATGGACTAATTCAATGCATAAGATGTATTTTTTTTTATTAAAAATACAAGTTTATTAAAATGTTAAAATTTATTAAAGATACAAGTTACTTTGGTATAAAAAGATACACATATACGCACACACATATGTTAATGCAATAAAAATTTGGATTTATTAAAATTTTATATGAACATCATACTAATAACGTTTTCGTATGAAACGTATTTGATCCATCTTGAATCAATTAGTCACTATTTTACTATTAGCGTTTTCGATTGTCCCAAAATTGATTAATGACGTCATTGCATCGTCTTCACCAATAAAAGACTTAAATTCATAGTAAAATAATGATTAACCAACGTTGGATCGGCCAAAATCCGTTTAATCGAAAATGCTCTATGACTCGTCTTTTATTAGCGGAGACAATGCAATAAATAATGGTTCTGAAGTCGAACACGCTTCAATCAAAAACGCTATTCATTGTGACATAAATTTTTTGCTACATAGTATAAGAAACAATGTTACAAAAAATAAGAAAATTTTTGAAGAATAAAAAAGAACCCTACCCTTAGTACTAAGTCGTTTAATTCTTTTATAGTTAATTCGACCGGCACGACTCCGATTATCATTAACGGTACGCCACTAAAATTATAAAACCGTTTATCCGACGGTATTAATTTATGCGGGAACGGCTCGACAAAGACTTTATATATTTCTTTTCGTATAAATGAAACCGGGCTACCGGAATCTACTAACGCTCGTAATTCGCTTAATTGTTTACAGATACTTGTAACAATCGCAAACAGTTTGCTGAGTCCTCTCCTGGCGCCTTCTGCCTCCATGACCGCAGCGACGACGGAGTCAGCATCAACTTCGGATGAGGCGGCCTCTGCAACGGCTGCTACGGTCCGCACCGCCGACGGCTGGTTCGGCAACGTCGATTTCCCGTCCGCTCGACCCTTCAGCGCGGGACAATCGAACTGGCGATGGCCCTTCACCTTGCAGTAGAAGCAAACGACGTCACTTCTGCATTGCAAGTGTGAGTGGCCCTTTCGACCACAATTTCGGCACGCACTGTCTTTACTTTTCACCGGCACATTCGACACTGACTTTTTCTCGCACTCGGTACTGCCTTCCGTAATTATTCTCATTTTAGCGAGAAAACTGTCCAACGATTCGTCTGCAACCGAAAGCGCGGTAGCTCTTATTGAGCTTTGCGTGATTCCACCAATTATTAGATGGATCGCGTCTTTTACCGGCAAGTCCATTTTATTAATTAGCGCCAGTTTAGCGATCGTGTATTGATCGAAAGTTTCTTTTTGCGCGTTCCATTTACGCGCCTCGACCCGCTGTATCGCTTTATAAAACGGCACTTTTCGTTCGAAAATTTTCAATAGTTCAAGGCGCAGGCCTTGCCACGACTCGATTTCCGGTCCCGACTGTATGTCGTACCATTGGCGCGCGAACTTGACCAATTTGCTCGGCGCGGCAAGCAAGGTCACACCGTCCGTTGCACTGTGTATTTGCGCCACTCTGTCTACCCGACGCACCCACACCGACACACACTCTTCTTCGGCTCCTCCGAACTCCGGTATTTGCGAGGCAAGTCAGGAAATTGCGTTTCCTGCTGGCAGCCCGCTCCCGATACTCACCAATTGCATCGGTTGAGCATGCGCGGAATTCAAGGACGACCCGCAGAATTCGTCCTGTTTGAACTTTCCAAATTGTTATTGGAACCGCTGGCTCCTCGGCTCGACTTACAGGTGCAGCGGGTCTTGCTGCCTGTATTTGTTGCATCATTTGCAACATAAATTGCTGTTGCTGCTGCTGCAGCTCCTGCTGTTGACGTAACATATTCTGCTGTTGCTGCATCATCGACGTCGTTATCTCCGTTATTGTTTGCCGGAGCACCCCTGCAGTCAGCGGTTCTGCAACCGTTGACCGCGTGGCGGCCGACGGCACCGTCCCTTCTCCGAACGCACCGTGCGGCTTGGCCGGTGTATCCGCGCTCCTGGATTTCTCCAGATGAGCTAAAATCAATTTAATGAGTACCTCGCGGTCCTCCGACAGCGGAAGCTGGTTGTGCTTCGCATAATTTTGGAGCTGCTCCAATGTGGCCTTCTCCAGATCGGCTTGCTCCATTTTAGACCTCGTCTTCGGCATGCTCCTTTTCGTCACTCACTCGACGCGACAAAGTTTTTAACCGACTCGATGCGGACTTGTGCAGCCCGTTTTTAATCTCGACACGACACGACAACGTCTTTTCGACTCTTCTTTTCGACACGACGCGGGTTTTTATGAGTCCATACTCCTTTCGGCACGACACGACAACGTTTTCCAACGTTACTTTTTCCGACACGACGCGGGTCAAATGAGCCCGTTATCCTTTCGGCACGACACGACAAAGCTTTTCCGACTCGACTTTTTCCGACACGACGCGAGTCAAATGAGCCCGTTATCCCACTTCTGATTTAAACTGAAAGTTCTCCGAGTAGTTTTCTCGACGACAAACGGCACGAAATGTCTGGACAAATATTCGACTAGTTCTTTAAGAGATCTTGTAATCAGGATGTATGAATAAATCTCTACTTTCGAACTGTATAACAAACGGCCTTTATTTCCATCACCTAATACAGTATAACTCGACTATCGTTCGACTCTAGTTTCTCGGTATAATCGACGACTCTAATAGCGTTTTCGAATAAACGGGGTTTGAACGATCTAGGGTTGATCAATCACTATTTTACTATAAATGCAAGTCTTTCATTGGTGGAGAGGTTGCAATGACGTCATTAACCAATCTTGGGTCGTTCAAACCCCGTTTACTCAAAAACGCTATAATACAATAAACGTGGCTGGTCTTTATGCCGGTTCCGAACAGAGTGGTTCACCGGATTTCTCTCAGTATTGCGATATGGGACCGGTTGTATGCGCATGTGCGGCAATACGGCGTCAGTACAGTGTCTCATACAAGTTAAACAAGGCACCGTTACCCCGCTACATTAAAATATTTCTAAATTTTGAAATTGATTGAAATTTCTACTTCTTGG